GTGGGGGTGTGTGGGTGGGGGTTGGGGTGTGGGGGGGTTGGGGGTGTAGGTGGTGGGTCTGGTGTGGTGGGGGTATAGGTGGTGGGTCTGGTGTGGTGGTGGTGGGGTGTGTGTGTGCAGGTGGTGTGTCTGGGGTCTGGTGTGGTGGTGGGGGGTGTGTGTGTGCATATGCAGCTCCTGTGTGTCAGCCTGCGTGTGGAGGGAGGGTTCTGTATGGCAGTCTGCGTTTGTGGGGAACGGACGGGTATGGCGGTGGTGGCAGGCTGCGTGTGGGGAGCAAAGCTTGGACTCCCAGAAGGCTGCTGTACCATCACCCCGTCCTTGCTGTGCCCCCTTTTCTCCAGGAGCCGTGTGAGACACCATGGCGCAAGCGCTCGCCTCCCCGGGGCTGTTCTCTGACGATGATGCCGCAGCCTCCCCCGTTCTTGAATCCACAGCAACAGGGTTTGGGGCCGATGTGCGCAAGGACCTCCTGTCGGAGTTCTCTGCCATCTCTCCAAATCTGGAGGGCTCGCAGCAGGTGAGGCCGGAGCTCTTCTGTCACAAACAGGGCAGCGGTTTGACTTGCGGCTGCTGTGTCTCTGCACAAAGGTGGTGTGATGCAGGGCCAACAGAGACTCTTCAGAGGAGGCTAGAGCAAAATGTTGCACTGGGGGGAGCAGTTCCTGCCCTGTGCTATGAAGGGCACAGTCAGTAAGTGCCTCTTAACACGATGCCTCTTAGTGTGGTGCTTGCTCTGGGGGCTGGTTTTGGTGTCAGGTCTTCAGGTTGTTGGTCTGGTTCACTAGAGAAACCAAAGAAATGCTGGTGTGCCTGGAAACGCCTAAGAAAGCTTCTGTCACTGCTGGGGATTTTGGGACCAGAGAAGTGTCCGTTAGTTACTGAGTGCTAGTCAAGGTAGCCATGCGCGTGGTCCATGCTGCGGTTCCTGTTAGCGTTGTGACGGGTGGTTGTGTACTGCCTCTCTGGCCACCATGTTTAACCTGTGCTGATTTTTGTAGGCTGTAGCTGAAGACAATAATGGAAAAATAAAGGTGTATCTGAGAGTTCGACCTCTGAAATCTACAGAAGTGGAAAAAGGGGAAGACCAGGTAAGACACTGAATGCAGCAGCCTCTGCGCTGCCTGCGTGCCTGCTGGGAGATGCCACCATCCTTTGCTGTCTATGCTACGGCCTCTTGTAAGCCATTGCAATGATGGGGCTTTGTGTTCTTTAGGGCTGTGTCTGCATTGAGAATTCAGAGACCTTGCTTCTAAAAGCCCCTAAGGACTCCTTCACCATGCGGAGCACAGAACGTGGAGTGGGACAGGCAGCACATAGATTCTCTTTCACTCAGGTAACTGGGAGAAACAATCCATCTGGAAGCTTTTCAAGCTTAAACCAGCCTTACGGCTTGAAAACCTGGCTTACTAATACACACTGATTCCAGTGTACTGCATGAACTATGGAGTCTCGTACAATCCTCTCTACTTAAGTTTGTTTCTATTGCTGTTTCCTTAGTTCTTCTCTTTTTAAGCTGATCCTGCCAAGTTTTTTGGCAGCAAATGCCAAACTCTTGTTTTGTTCACGAGGCTCTAAACAGACTAGAGGCCATAGTGATATCAGGTGTTACTGGATTAAGCAAGTGAACATCTTATTTTCGTAGGGGGCTTGGACTGGAAGTACTGGTGGGTCTGTTGCTCATGATGTGGGGCTAATGGAGCGTCCTGGTTTTGGCTGGGATAGAGTTAATTTTCTTCCTAGTAGCTGGTATAGTGCTGTGGTTTGGATTTAGGATGAGAATAATGTTGATAACACCCTGATGTTTCAGTGGTTGCTAAGTCGTGCTTACACTAGTCAAGGACTTTTCAGCTTCCCATGCTCTGCCTGGTGCACGAGAAGCTGGGAGGGGGCGCAGCCAGGACAGGTGACCCAGACTGGCCCAAGGGCTATTCCATACCGTATGGCGTCATACCCAGTACATAAACTGGGGGGAGCTGGCCGGGGGGCAGCGATTGCTGCTTGGTGACTGCCTTGGTGTCAGTCGGTGGGTAGTGAGCAGTTGCATCACTTGTTTTCCCTGGGTTTTGTTCCTCTCTGTTGTTTGCCTTTTCACTACAATTTTAATAATTATTATTTTATTTTGATTATTAAACTATTCTTATCTCAACCCATGAGTTTTCTTACTTTTGCCCTTCTGATTCTCTCCCCATCCCACCGGAGGGGGAGGGTGAGCGAGCGGCTGGGTGGTGCTCAGTTGCTGGCTGGGGTCAAACCACGACACGGAGGGACCAAAGGACTACATGGTATCGCTTGACCAACCATCAGCAGTCAAAAGATAGGAATGATCTACATGAGGCCATTTTTCATGCATCTTCTTTGCAGATCTTTGGACCAGATGTGGGGCAGAAATTGTTCTTTGATGAGACAATGAAGCAGGTGGTAAAGGATGTACTGAATGGGCAGAACTGGCTGGTTTACACCTACGGCATCACCAATTCAGGGAAGACTCACACCATTCAGGGTAAGGAAAGCACTAGGTGTTCATAGCCTGTTGCAGGAGTTGTCTGCTTCTACACGCGAATCCTCAGCTTGCTGTTGTTTTTACTTCAGGCAGCAACAAAGATGGGGGCATTCTGCCCCGCTCCTTAGCGGTCATCTTCAACAGCGTGGGGGACCGGCTGTACCAGGCCATGGACCTGAAGCCTTCCCTCTCCCACGAGGTGATCTGGCTGGACAGCAGGCAGGTGCGACAGGAAGAGACCAAGAAGCAGACCATGCTGCGGGGCGGTCTGTGGGAGGTAAGCGTGCAGCTTCTCGGAGATTTAATAACAGGGAAAGGATGGTGTCATACTACAGACCCGCTCATGTTCTTTGTGTCCTTCCAGGAGGAGCTGTTAACGCCGCTGAAGAGGAGTCACAGTGCCGAATCGCAGCTCCAGGCCACCACCAGTGGCAGTTTTGACAGTGGAGTTGCTGGCCTCTCTTCATCTAGCCAACTCACCAACCATTCGGACATCAGCCAGACAGAAGGTATGTCTGGAAGCCTACTGTGTACTACCTGCTGCTGCTTGTGGGAGGACGGGGGAAGAAAGGGTGAAGGCTATTTGGATGCTGTGTTGTGGGTAAGGGAGCAAAGGTGCTGTAGTCTTTTCCCTTTGAAAGACAAGGATGTTGGGGCTGAAGGACTTTGTACGTATGTCTGGCTAACATACGAAGAACTTGCCACTGCATAGTAACTCAAGCCTCATGAAATGAAAAGCTACTTGATACCCACTTACTTCATTCAAGGGATACGGTTATTGAGCAGCTGAATGCCATGCGATGGGGATAGCTGGCAAGCAGGGTGCTCGAGTGACATGTTGCACGGAGCGCTTGTGCCCAGACTTCCAAACCTAGGAACTACTAACTGATTCGGTATCCAGAAGCACGGAGTAATTTGAGGTAACAAGGACTAAAACTTCACTTATACTGGGAAGAGTTCATGTTTGAAATATCCTATACTTCTGGAGTCAAGATCAAGTGTACCAAAAGTCCTTGCACAGAAAGGAGGATGCTGCTAAAGGGAATCTCAGGCTGGGGACAGGCATTAGTGTAGGTCCAAACGGGAGGAGGTTTATAGAATAGATTTGAGTCTGGGATAGTGTTCCGGAAGAAAGGTATCTCAGTCTACAGCTAGACCACTGAGGCTGGATCCATGAAAAGCTGCAATCCTGACTTTTTTACTTAGTGTTTTTTTCCCTTCTTTATCTTTTCCTCAGAACTGGGTCCTCGCTGGGCTGACTTGGATCGCATTTCACTGACCAATGCAGGAGACGTGCAGTTCTCCATCTGGGTCTCCTTCTTTGAGATTTACAATGAGTTAATCTATGACTTGTTGGAACCAGCTTTACCTGGCCAGAACCGCAAGAGGCAGACGCTGCGGCTCTGTGAAGACCAGACTGGCAACCCCTATGTGAAAGGTAGATACGCCTGAGAGATATTTTTAGTGGCCTGCTGGGAGACTTGAGGAGTGAGCAGGTGGGTGGCTTAGCTGCGATGTGTTGCAGAGCACGATGTCCTCTGTGGCCTCTCGGAGGTCTCGGATGTCTGGATTAGGGGAACGTTAAGTTTGTTAATGTCAAGGAAATGCAATGGTCAAGTTGGGGCTGAGATAATTAAGTTTTCTCCCAGTCTCCTAACTGCCTTGCCCAACGTGTGCCTGCTTTTCCAGATCTGAACTGGATCAATGTCCGGGATGCTGATGAGGCCTGGAAGCTCCTGAAACTGGGTCGGAAAAACCAGAGTTTTGCTAGCACCCACATGAACCAGAACTCCAGTCGCAGGTCTGAAGGGCTGGGGGGTTGTTGAGGCAGACATACAATTCGGAGGGCCTTTTACAGGTTGCGTCTCCCTTTTAAAACATTTTCACATTTCTTTACAGTCACAGTGTCTTCTCCATTCGGATTCTGCACTTGCAAAGAGGTAGCAGTGAAATCGTTCCAAAAATCAGCGAGTAAGTTTCATGCTCTCTAGGATTTGGGGGTGTTCTCTGTGGACTCAACTCTCCTGTCTCTTGTTGCGGATCTGGGGTATGGGAAGTACCTTGAGGAAGGTCATGTTGAAAGTACTTGGAAGGAGTAAATGTTCCCACTCTTAAGTCTTGGAACTGAGTGAGGAGTTTGTGAGGAGTACTGCAAAGTACGACTTGAGGTAGTTCACTTTTTGAATGAAAATAAACGTGAGTAACCCTACCCTCGCAGCAGGGCTGATCTGAGCGCTGCTGATGCCTGTTCCTGGGCTGTAGTTATCTGGAAATGGGTTGTCTCGGTACCCGGGAAGTGGCTGTCCTGAGGACGGGCAAAGGATCTTTGAACTTGACACTGCAAAGCTCACGTTCTTGTTATCTCGTGTAACCCCTATGCTTAGGGTAGGTCTTTCTGTCCAGCAACAGCTCATGCACCCCAAAAGAGCCTTCTGTGCCCTTACGGGGAAGCTGGGAAGGTGAGCAGGGCGGGCGATCGCAGGGTGTCTGAATTGCAAGCCTGGCTGGAACAGGACAAACCTAGCAGGTCATGTGAATACCGCCCGCCTTGTCTTCAGGTTATCCCTGTGTGACCTTGCGGGGTCAGAGCGCTGCAAGGACCAGAAAAGCGGGGACCGAATGAAAGAAGCAAACAACATCAATACCTCCCTCCACACGCTGGGTCGCTGCATTGCCGCCCTGCGCCAGAACCAGCAGTCCAAGTGAGTACCAGAACTCCTCAGGGAGCGTGGGGACAGGCTGTTTTGCTTCCCCATGGGCTCACTCTTGTCTCTCCCCATAGATCGAAGCAGACTGTGGTTCCCTTCCGGGACAGCAAGCTAACCCGTGTGTTCCAGGGTTTCTTCACTGGACGTGGGCGCTCTTGCATGATTGTTAACATTAACCAGTGTGCATCTACGTATGATGAAACTCTGTATGTAGCCAAGTTCTCAGCCATCGCCAGCCAGGTAAGCAGCACGCACCAGGATCACGGCATGATCGGGATACATCCTGCTCCTGTGGGAATGGGCCCCTTTCCGTCACAGGGCAGGGGGAATGCTTGCAAGTTGTCCCTGTCCTTCTCCAGTGGATTGTTATCTTTACAGTATTTCCAGATTCTGCTAAACTGAATGGGTTGACAGGTCGCAGAGAAGCGTTGCGTTTAAAGACTACGCAACTTCCAGGCTTTGTGGAACCTGTAACGATGGCCTTTTCCCCTTCAGCTTGTTCAGGCGCCTCCCACAAAGGTGGGACTTCCGTCCATCCAATCGATCATCAAAGAGCACAACAGGCGAACCAGCCAGGGTCAGGAGGCAGCAGCAAAGGAAGAAGTGGAATCGGAAGAAGACAGTGAGGATGAAGCAGATGTCTCCATGTATGAGAAGGAGGTGGGTTGTGATTTGTTTTACAGCCTTTATGGATAAGGGGGCAAGAACATGACTTAGCTTTGGCCTGGGAGCTGGGGCTGGAGCTCGGCACTACACCAAGAGATGACAGGGAACCTCAGAAGGATATGGGACCCAGGAAACGGGGAATCCATGAGGAAAACATTCCACAGTCGGTCTAAATCTGAAGCACATGGTTAATTTGGAAACACTTTGTCATCTGTGGAATAGGGACAGTAAGAGCTCGGGTACAGACCTATAATCCCTACTGTGCAAGGGAAATCCATGCAAAACACACAGGAGAGATGGCTAAATTGAGGAAAAATAATCAAACTTCCTAGATACTCAAAGCGGGCAGCTGGAATAGCTGGAAGATCAAGATAGAAGTCATATACCTACAGAGACTTGAGTTGTAATGTGTCAAGGTAGCAAATGGAGGTGCAGCCCTGGGCAGTGCAGTAGGGAAGCTGCTCTGGAGACAGCTCCATTTGGAGTGCAGTGTTGTTTAAGCCATCTCATGGGAGAGGAATTAAGAGCAAACCTGGCAAAACTCCTCTTTTCAAGTGACTAAAAGCATCTTAAACCTAGATCACCCCAGCCTACAGATACAGGATCCCCTAGTTTATTCTAGATCTTAATTCTGTTGTGCAGTGTGGGCAATGGAGTTTGCGTCCTTCTTGCAGGACTTGTTGCGTGTAGTGGAAGCTGCACGAGAGCTGCTGGTGCAAGAGCGGCAGGAGAAGCTGCAACTAGAAATGCGCCTCCGTGAGGAGATCTGCAACGAGATGCTGGAGCACATGCAACAGAAGGAGCAGTGGTGCAGGTACAGCTTGCGCCGATCTCCCTCCCTTCGTTCAGGGTGAGCTACAGTACCAAGAACTGCCAGACCCTGACATGGAGTTGTTTGCTCTCTTTGTAGCCAACATGTGGATGCTCAGAAGGAGCTGCTGGAGGAGCTGTACGAGGATAAACTGAATAACCTGAAGGAGTCACTGACCGACTACTACCAGGAGGAGATCCAGGTTCGTTCAGGGCCATGAAAGGACATCAGGAAAGTGGCGGTGCGTTGGGAGGGGACTCGGGGTACTTGAGCCCAGGAAGGTGACTTAGGCAAACTGAGAGGAAAGATTTTGTGTTTTGTGGTATTTTTTGTGATGATATTTGATAGTTTGATCCACACTTTTCTCTTCTTGTCTACTGCTTTGCTGTTCACTAGGCTTTCTAATTTTCAGCCCTTAATCTGGAAGCTAACGTGCAACCATTCTGACTCCTCTGTTTGTTCAACATGCTTCCCTCCGCCTTACTCTTTTTGCTAGTGGCTTCCTTCGCACTCTTCAGATTAACACAAGTTCTGTGAATTTCTATTCTTACTCTTAGCTGGGACGATGGGTATGGGCCTGTCTATATATATTTTTCACTCTATGGCATTTGAGCAGCCTCTGGGACTTGTCGCAGACCTCTCTGAAGATGCCAACTCTCAAAAAATCCCTTGTCTTTAGAGGCTGTAAAAAAGTGGTTTAGGCTCCCAGGAAATGGGTTTGCTGTTTTCACTTAAAGGACATTAAAGGCTGGGTTCAACAGGTGAAGTGTGTGATTGAGAAAGTCACCTGGAAGAAAGGGATTGCAAGTTTCAGAAAAGCTGTGTTAAGAACATCTGGTTGAATATTTGAACAAACTTGCTTTCTAAGGACCGTGATGAGAAGATCGAGGAGCTCCAAGCTGCTCTGCAGGAGGCAAAACAAAAACTGAAGAGCCTGGATACTAAGCAGAAGGACTCTGGGCAAGGCTTGCGTCGATCAAAGCGAGTGGCTACCTCGTGCGCTCTGCAACAGGAGCTGGTAGATACCAAAGCCAAACTGGAGCAATGTCAAATGGAGTTAAATACCGCAACAGCAGGTAAGGCCGTGATGCTGCGCTGGTTCTGAACCATGCCCGAGTGATCCTTGTAGAGGGTTAGAGATACTTTTTTCAGTAGGGTACATTGGATTCATCCTGAAACCACTGTTCTGAGTTGTAGATGACAGGAATAATGTGATGGATGGACAGGATTTTACTTCATTTTCCACATGAAAATGGACTTCAGGGCGGGATCATCTCCCTGCTCTGATTCTAAAGTCCCTTTTTGTCACCGAAAGGGAGAAGCCTGGAATGTTCGTGCATGTCTGCACAAACTCAAAGCTTTTCTCAATCTGCCTGTGGCAGCTTGTCTCAAGGGAAGTCCTGACTTCAGAAAACCCGAAAGCTTACGAATGTGCTGTGTCTCACTACTTTTTGTCTGCTCCTAGAGTTGCGCAAGTACCAGAAATTGCTGGAGCCACCTCCCTCCGCCAAACCCATTACTGTGGACGTAGACAGGAAGCTGGAGGATGGACAGAAGGTAACTCCATCTCTGTGTCACAGGAAGGAACGCTTGCAGGGCAGGGTGGTTGCCAGTTTCAACGGAGTTTGGAGCTGCTGCTTCCAGGTTTTTAAACAAATGGTTGAAGTTGAAATGGGTCTGTTGAGAACAAACCCTTAGTAGAGATGTGGAAGGTTGTGGGACCGGAGATTGCAGCGTACCTTGCTCAGAGGGGATCCTCCCTCAGTACTGCATGTCTGAGTTACCCTGGCGTGGCTTTGTTTGCAGAGCAATGTCAAAGCTAGCTGTTGTATTAAATCTCTTTCTCCTGTAGAATGTCAGATTGCTGCGTTCAGAATTACAAAAACTTGGGGAGTCCCTTCAGTCTGCAGAGAGGGCGTGCTGCCACAGTACAAGTGCAGGGAAACTTCGAGAAGCCCTCTGTACGTGTGATGACATTCTGGCTCGACAGGTAAGGCGTCTGTTCTGTTGTGGGCTGCACGGGGGGATTTAGTCTATGCGCTTTGCCATAATCAGCCGAATAACCTAGGTTCTTGCAGCTGCACATAAAAATGACTTATTCTCTAGGCACATGCTCTCTATTACATTAAGGGAGCTATGTTGCTAATTTTTTCAACGGCTGAGTCAGCCTGCATATTTAACTTGCCAAAGGAGACCCAAATTGTTCCTGTTCAGTTACCTGACAGCCTGCACTTAAAGCAGGAGAATTCGGAGTTCTCATTTCCTTCTCCGCTTCACTCTATCACAGTTGCTATGGCAGCACGTTTGCAGCAGGACGGATTCAGCTTTTTCCTAGCCTTACTCTTCCTATTTTGTTATTGAACTGCTATGCTGCTGACAGTAGAAGCTTTTATGCATGGCCTTATTTAGCACACTAGTTAATGAATTTTGGCAAAGGCGGTTTATCCTCTTCAGTTCATAGTAATCAGGGAGTTGGGCAACTTGTCGCATCTTTATATATACTGCCTTCCCTTTCTCAGGACCAAACACTGGCAGAACTGCAGAACAACATGATGCTGGTAAAACTAGACCTGCGGAAGAAAGCAGCTTGTATTGCTGAGCAGTACCACACTGTGCAGAAGCTCCAGGCTCCTCCAACATCTACCTTAAAGAAACGGTTCTGTGCCAACAGGGAAAACCTACAGCCTAATCAACCTCTTGGTAAAAAGCCCTTCCTGCACAACCTTCTGTCACGCTCCGCCACCCGTCCTGCTGCTGGCAGAGGGTGGCAACTTCGTTCTGTTGCTCTATGACTTTTCACAAAGAGATCCCTGCCCTGCTATTACTGGAACAGGTGCCAAATCGAATATAATAGCATCTATTTTTCTTTGTGTGCTTGTTTATTGTTATTGTAGCTGCTTGAGAGCTTATGTAAACATTTTTGGATATGTATGGTTAAACTTTTAATCGATACCAAAGTGGACAAAATGACCTTTTGTAATTTAAACACTACAACAAGGAACATCTTTAAATATAATGCGGATGATCAAAGCTCATTTAACAAAAGGACAAGTTAAAAGTGAGTTCTCACCTTCAACTGTGTTGGCATATAATTCAAAAATAAGTGCACAAGGTCCTCCTTGAAAGATATTTTCCCTTCCTTGAATTATAATCCTTTATTAAAGTATACACGTTCTAGTTCAGGGCTGTTCTCTCGGATCTTGGCTTGCAATTCTGGCTCCAAGCGTGTTACAGACATAGAACTAAGCAAAAGAAAGAGTAAAAGGGTTATATATAACAAGCACTTGAACGTAAAATAAGATGGATGACGCATTTGGTTAAACTTCCTGGATTGTGAAAAGAGCTTTCAGATCTTATTTTAACTTCTTATGAAGGAATCATGCTCACAGACCAGGGGCAAACAAATCCCTGCTTAGAAGGCAATAAGACAGTCCACAGAGTCAAGAAAGGGCTGTTGCTATGACCATGAGGGTAGGAATCTACTTAGTTGCTTCAGGTTGTTGCTGGCAATAGAAACTTACCTTCCTAAAGGTGTTTTTATGAAATCTAATGTATTTGCCTATTTAACTTACTGCCTGATTTTATTCAGTTGAATAAAAGGCTTATTTTTATAAGAGTCCTTCACAGGAAAGTGAATTAAGCTGCCAGGTCACTTAAACAGCTGCAATTTCTTATGTACAGTTTAATGGCTAATGTTCCCACGAAAGGGAGAGCCCAGGATAAAACCCCGAACTGTCCCGGTTTGTGAAGTCCCCTGCAGGGAGCCTAGCGATGCTTATCTACCACAACGCTCGCTTCTGGGCCAGGCAGGGAAACGGAGGGTGTCAGGCTGCTGCGTTGTACGCAAACCACCCCATCGGAGGAGAATTGGGAATTGTCTTCTGGGAATCAAAAGCTACTTTAGTTGCTTAATATTTTAACGGATTCAGCTCCAGCTTGCGTTCTTTAAGCTACGCTTGGCAGCTTGTCAAGTTTAGACAACCACTAACAATACGAGAGGGGACAGCTTAGTTGAATTTAAGAACCTGTTCATGCTCCATGCTGCAAATTGAGCTAACTTTATAACCATACAGGTTGCGTTATGATTTCAGCTATAATGAATGAGGTTTCTACGACAGTTTTCAGTACTGAGCTGTTTGTGTATTGATAAAAAATTCTTTCTGGAAAAATATTAATCAAATTACAAATAAGCACGTATTATAGTCAAGTGCTGTTCTGTATAACCAGAGGAGTTTTCAGCTGAAAAGAAAATGGCCTCTGACTGTATTTAATGAAGCCATAACCTTACTGAACACAAATATATTGTTTGGACCATAATATTGGCCTTTCTTACGAATCATTCCGGTGGTTCCTAACTCTGTATTATCAAGCTCAAACTTCTCAGCTTGAAATAGCGTGGTTAAACTGCTCGCCCAAGCCTCTCATCCCTAGCCCTAGGCAGCAGCATTGCAAGCTGCTAGGAGTTTGTAAACGAACGAGCACAATTCAACTCTTATGTATGACTGATGAGTAACAGAATTATTACTTTCCTGAATATTCTCATGTTTATCACACTTGTTATGTGGGAATTAAGACTGTATGCTCGAGGCGGGAATGACCACTTGTTTCTGTCTTTGCAGTACCTCGCGTGCCTCTGGGAGCGTAACATTAAAGTAAGAATAACGTAACAGCAATACGTACCTTTTTTGAGGAAACAGCGCACAACACAGGGGTGTTGCAAACACAAGACTAGAGGAGACAAAAAGGGGTTTACAATATTTAGGGTGCTAATAGAAAATTCAAACCCCTTAGGCATGGTCTTCTAGGCAGAAAGCATGCTTTTTTTTTGTGTACAGTGAGGTAAAGTTCCATGAAGTGCTATGTAACCTTTATTTCTCACTGCATTATACCTTGTGAAATCATTTACCTACTATGTAGTACTAAATGCATCAATACCATGCTTACAAATGTATATAAAATTATCATTTGATGTCCTTTCCGTGTTTTGCATTGTTGTGCATGAAAATGTAACGACAACATAAAATGCCAGACAACGGCGAATGAAACTCTTCATTAACCAAATGCTTCAAGAATTCATCAACCCACAGGATCCGATTCCCGTTATTGTTTATGGAGGTAGCAGCCAAAGCATCTTTTCTGATCAAGCTGCCACATCCCTTTTTTTTGCCACTCCCTTCCTTTCCTCCTCCCTCCCTCTCCTTTTCTTGGCAGCTTCTTCATTGCTAAGGGCTGGGTTTTTTAATACGGTATTATCAGTTACAGATATGGAATTGACTAACTCCCAAATTTTTTTTTCTTTCAACGAAGTGCAAATATTGCTACTTCCTCCAAAAACTCTACGAGTAGCGCTTAAAATAGCAGACACAACCCAAAGAAATCACTTACCAGAATCCGACTAATCCAACTTGAATGGGAGCACTCATCCAAGGAAACCTCTGTTAAAAATAAAGCGCACACAGTGAGTACGGCAGCTTTTCTCCCCTCTCTTCCCACCTTCCTGGAATTCTTGTATTGTAAGAGACAGATTGCACCTAAAAGCCTCTTGGAGACGAGGAAGACAAAACAATTACCAGTGTACCTTAAACCTGAGCTCTGGTTTGAGAGCCCAATCCCTTTGAAAAGTAATAAGAAAGTTACTTTGTGATCTCAATGTACGCCGTTATCCTGAGTAAACGTCCCTCGGGAACGACGCTAGGCTGAGTGTTCTGCTCAGGACCTGATCCTGAGTACGTGGGCCATTCCTTTGCGTCGCCCAAGCCTGCAGTAGGCAGCAGCGGAGCCAAAGCCTGGAGCGGTGCTGCAGGCGCAAGGTGCTGCCACATGCGGGGGCACAGGGAGTTCTCGGCATCCCCGAGAAGAGCGAGGTCTGGTGACAGCTCCTGCCTCTTCACCGACATCATCAAAGGCTTTTAACTCAGGAGTGGAGATTTACTCTGCCAGCAGCTGCAGCCACCAGCCTTAAGATAGGGAGGTGCCAAGGAAAAATGTACCTCTGCATCTCTCAGCCCTTTCTCCTGTCTTAGAATTTGCTTTGGCGTGTAGGAACTTGCCCCTGGAGCACAGTCGGGTACGCTCCAGTTCTGCAAGGGTTCACCTTTTATTAAAGGACAAAAGGGTGGAAGAGTTGGGGAAACGAGGCTGAGAAAGCAATGCGTGACCTACGGATGCGTTTTTAGCACGGTCCTCGCGGAGCTTGAATGGATGTCAAAAAATATGATTGTTTTCTTGTAGGCTTTTAAATGATTTAGGCATCTACTCCCCCCCACATGTTAGAATTTTAGTTGAAATTAATTACTAATGAAATAAAACCAGACCTCTTTAAACAACACTACTGCAATGGCCTTCTCTTGCTCCGATACAATCAGTGTCTCCAGTAAGTAGGACAAACACAACTGCGATGATAAGAGGAAGCCGATTTTAAAAAACAGCTAATGAGTTAAAAATCACACATTAGAGTGGATGGTGTTTTCAACGAAGATGATGCTTTGCTCTGTAAGAAGCATTTCTGAAGATGTAGAGGTTAGAGGGGAAACTGGTGAACAAAAGATGGGCACTATTTGAGAGTAGAAACAGAAAAAAGAAATTTAGAAAGCGCGGTAGGGCAAAGCTTGGTGCTAAGGAAGGTCACAGCAGCGTAAGCGCATAGAAAGCAAGCCTGCGCGCATTAAACTTTCTCCAGAGCCTGAGAAGAAATGATGTAGATTGCTTCTGTTTTATTTTTTTTTTTCCTGGAGTCAATCTGGAATCCAGAAATGAGTGCAGGAAGAACTGTGCAGTTCAGCAATAACCTGCAACAACAGATAACAAACAGAAAAAGACAGCAACAGCAAGAAGGAGAAAGGGTGAATGCAGCCGTGCTCTGCCGTTCTGGCATTCCACTACACACACCTTCGTTTGACTCTCGGCTGAGATAAATTCCCTCAAATTGCTTTACATTTTACACACTGGGAGAGTCCATGACGAGAGCTGTGTGACTGACGGCGGAAGGGATGCCGGACTGCGGCACTGGTGAATATTCCACGTATTTGGGAGCGCAAGGCAAACTGCGCTGCAGGTGACTTCAGCCTCTGAGGAGAGTTAAGGGAGAGGGATGCTACGCATTGCGGTGTGAGCGTGGCACCCGAAATACACACCCGAAAACCCCAAATACGGTTTTATAACTGGAAAGGCTGTTGGAGGGTGTCAGGAGAGTAATGGATGGTTTCATGCCTTTATCAGAGTTGGTCATTAATCTGAGAGAGGTATTTACTAGTACAGGCAATGGGAACAACATCTATTTCATGTGGTGGAACGCTTTTTGCCAAGGTACTTGATCTGAGTTACAGCCTTTATTTTTCAAGAATGTTACCAGGCTGCACTGATCAAGAAAGATGGTGAGGTAAAACTCGAACGCGGCGAGGTCAATATTAAGAACTGGAGTTGCCCAGGGAACAACGAAAAACAATAAAGCAAAACTCGAATGCAGGCTGTACATCCCTACAAAGAGATGAAATGGCGAAGTACAAGACAGCAGAATTTACTGTGTTAGAGAACTACCACTTAACTCTGGAAGAAGGCAGTTCCTGATGAATTAGGATTTAATTTCCAGATGTCTTTATGGCATCTTTAGTGGTTAGTGCAAACAGAGAGAATGGAGAAATGATAATTAAGCAAACAAAAGCCATAAGGAGAATCAGCTTTTTTCTAACTGACTACTTCCTTTCATTGTTGGATCTCAAAATCTGTCAGCTTTCCCAGGCTAGCTACGCCTGTTTTTAAAAAAAAAAAAAAAAAAAAAAAAAAAGGAATAAATGAAATGACAGTTAAATTAGGAATGCATGGAGGACTCAAAGGCATAAGACATTCAAGAATGATGCCTAAAAAAAAAAAGGCTCTCTGTTCTAGTTTTGTAACAGTTTTGAATACATATTTTAGTTGCAGACTAAGAGACCCCAAGGAGCTTGTTTTAAGGATATAGGAGGAACTTTCTGGAATCAGCTTTAATGTTAATACAGTATGCAGAACAGGAGAGAAATAATAGCTGAAGCTGTCAGAGTAGTAATATAAATTAAAACTTCAGTGTCGATTGCCATTTTCAGAAGTTTCCATGGAAAAAAACGATTTCTTTCTCTAGGAGAAAGGTTACCTGTAACTAAAATGCATCTAGAAACACTGCGCCTCCGAGCAAGGTTGTTTATGGATCCTCCTGCCGCAGCAGACAAAATAACTTGGCTCTGCGCAGCGCTCGTCAAGCGTAGGTCAGCAGGGATAACGAACACAGGCTTTATACAGCCTAATCAAGAACTACTACACCGCACAACCGCATAAAGGGCAGCCAAAGCCACTGCTGAAACCTATAGCAAAAGCACATCTATAGAAAAAAGTATTTTTTCAAGTCAAGAAATAATTAGATGCTTTTTGAAGCAGTAAGTATGTGCTTGTGTTCTAAAACCATTCATTTTCTAGCAATAACTTTTGGGAATGTTGTTAATTCATACTAATGTTACCATCAAAATGTCCTCGTGCAAAACAACGTCAGAATATGGGGGATGAATAGTGCTATATAACCTACATTTATAGGGTATTACTTCAAATACCAGAGGATGATCGCCTGCTATCACCACCGAGACCAGCATTCCAGAAGCATTTCTTTCTCTCTCTCTTACTGCACAACATTATTCTACTATTTTCTTCATTATTTCACAACCATTTGACTATTTTCTGGCCTTGTGTGTTGCTTAATAGGCTTTGGCAAGCATACAA